CATTGTTATCATTTTTAGTCGGTATGAGGTTATCAGTGGGTTTATCAGTGCCGATAGTCTATCTCCTGATCCTCACGGTCACTTAGTTTATTGCAGTAGTCCCTGTGGTGTCGGGGTCTGGTGTAGTGGGGTTCAACTAAGGGGGGTAATTGTTTAGCAGTGCCTTAGCCCAGTCAAGTTGATCTAAAATCCCAGGGTCCAATAATTCATCGTTGTATTCTTGTTCACTCACCACGGACTAACTTACTCCTGACTCCTGACAACGTTGGTGAAAACAGCCCATCTCCGCGGGTTTGGTTGGTTCGTAGCGAAAGTAGCGATGTGCCGGGGCTCGGTCGTCAGCGGGGATTCAGCTTCATGCCATCCCTTATCAGTAAATCTCAGGGTCCAAGTGATAGAGAAGAACTCGATACTAGATTCACTCCTGACAAATGCCCCCGTCCATCCCCGTGATCCAATTGGCGTGCCGAGGGAAGTAGACGATGTGACGGTATTGTGTACAATAAGCTGAGGGAGGGAGGGATTCAGCTCCACAAGCCATGCTTATCAATGATTCTAAATCCGGAGTCCCGTTGGTCTTCGAGACTAGTGGGCAGGGAAATCAGGGTCTCGAGTCATTCATTTGCTGCAGCCCGCAGCCTTGTAATTTCCCCCCTCTCGACCCTTTCGACCCTGCAGGAAGCATAGCATATCAGAGGCTGCAGTGCACCCAGACCCTGCAGGATTTTGATTTGTGCAGATCGAGTGGGGGGAGTAAGTGGTGTTATGGAGGACGAATGACGATCCTGGATGTAGGGGTTTGGATTGGGTTGCAGGTGGTCGAAGAATTGACCATTGGCCGTTGGAAGTCAAGTGTGATGGGGTGTACTCGGTACACCCAGTAGTATCGTACTGTAGGTGAAGACCCGGAGGCTGCCGAGGCCGAGGTCGAACTCCGTTGCAACTTGCATGAGGGAGGGGTGGGGGGGGGCAATGTTGCATTGCATATATTATTATTACCCACTTGGGGGTGGACAGGACAGGAGCACCGTCGGAGATTGGGTCTGGGCATTTTAGTTTAGTTTTGGTTTTGGTTTACTCTGTTGATGCCAATGGCTCAGATAATGTTGTTGGCTCAGGGTCTTGGGGTAGGCTTGGCTTGGCTTGGCTTGGCTGCTCCCGCCGGGGACGAGTTCGGGAAGCACCGGTGTTAGGGCTTCTTAGGGTTTACTTAGGGCTGTGCTGTACTCCGTATGGTACGGGGGTTGGATTGTTGCTGGTTCCCTTAGGAGAACATTGAAGTTTGAGGCACAGTGCGATATACTATCTTCTCTTGATGGATTAGTGTAATGGCTTATTCAAAAGGGATTCCCGATTGTTTGGAGACAATCTAGTTCAGGCACAATACCAGATAGAAGAGGGGAAGGGAGAAAGATCCCTGAGTGTTTTCGGAGTCCGTTCGAACGTCCGTCTCTTTCCCACTACTCTCCTCTACGGAGCACCTACATACACTTCATCTAAAAGTATATTCTCTGAAGAAGACGGAAGGTGGCAATGCGCTGGAGCGTGGGGATTGGAGCAAGCAATTCTTGGTCTTCTTGGTACTCTTGTGAGGACTGCAGAATCTCTTATCCCCAATCAAGCTATTCGCGAAGGATTGCCAGGTACGGGCAGTCTGATGCTCGACGGTGAGTGGTTACTAGCCATATAGTCTCGTGCTTGGCGGATTCGGGGGGAATAACCTCATGCGGATAAGGCTGGCCATTGGACAACTCCCCCGCTAGATTAGCGGCGATGATCGCCGGTCTTTGCTTCCTGATGGATCGGTAGTGCTCCGGCCTCCGTTGGCGTGATTGAGGGGACTGAGACATTTCGATATTACCCTTGACCGTAGTATACACTCGGGGAGATAGAGCATGGTCGGTCGATGCTCGTGCTTGGATGCGGATGTATGCAGAGTGTAAGGATTGAGAATGTGCAGCACGGCTGCAGAAGGTATAAAGAGCACTTTGAAACCCGCGTCAATCGGGGTTCTCTTCTTCATCCAGCAGCAGCAGCAGTAGGTCCTTCTCCTTCTCTTTCTCCTCGTGATATCTGCTTGAACATCTCCTCCTCATCATGGTCGTCCTTCACAAGGCTGCAGCCCTTCTTCTGGGTCTGACCACCGCCGCCACCGCGGCTCCCCTGGCTGAGACGCAGGCTTCGGTCCCGGTCAAGAACTTCTCCGTCAAGCAGGTCGAGAAGGAGGGCAGCAAGGGACGCACCGTCAACCTGCCGGGTCTGTATGCGAATGCGCTGGCCAAGTACGGCGCCCAGGTGCCGGCCAGCGTCAAGGCCGCCGCCGTCAGTGGCAGCGTCGTGACCACCCCCCAGGCCAACGACGTCTCGTACCTGACCCCCGTCACCGTGGGCAGCTCGACCTTGAACCTGGACTTCGACACCGGATCCGCCGATCTCTGGGTCTTCTCCTCGGAGCTGGCCGCCTCCTCGCGCACCGGCCACAGCATCTACACCCCCGGCAGCACCGCCCAGAAGCTGTCCGGCTACAGCTGGAGCATCTCCTACGGCGACGGCAGCTCCGCCAGCGGCGATGTCTACAAGGACAAGGTCACCGTCGGCACGGTGACGGCCAGCAGCCAGGCCGTCGAGGCCGCCAGCCGCATCAGCTCCGAGTTCGTCCAGGACACCGACACCGACGGTCTGTTGGGTCTGGCCTTCAGCTCGATCAACACGGGTATGCCTCCCCCTCTCCTCATTGTTTATCAGGTGTACTGATCCAGAGGTGCAGTCTCCCCCCGGGCCCAGACCACCTTCTTCGACACTGTCAAGTCCAACCTGGACAGCCCCCTCTTCGCAGTCGACCTGAAGTACCACGCCGCCGGTACCTACGATTTCGGGTTTATCGACTCCTCCAAGTACACCGGCTCCCTGACCTACGCCAGTGTCGACGACTCCCAGGGCTTCTGGCAATTCACCGCCAGCGGCTACAGCGTGGGCTCGGCTTCCCACTCCTCTTCTTTCTCTGCCATTGCTGGTATGTTGCCTGCCTCCCTCCCCCTGCCCCTCAAAATCCCATACTCATGGGCACAGACACCGGCACCACCCTCATCCTCCTCGACGACTCCATCGTCTCCACCTACTACAAGAGCGTCAGCGGCGCCTCCTACAGCTACAACTACGGCGGCTACGTCTTCTCCTGCTCCGCCACCCTGCCCAACTTCAGCGTCAAGATCGGCTCCTACACCGCCGTCGTCCCCGGCAAGTACATCAACTACGCCCCCATCTCCACCGGCAGCTCCACCTGCTACGGCGGCATCCAGTCCAACGAGGGCCTCGGTCTGTCCATCCTCGGTGATGTCTTCCTCAAGAGCCAGTACGTGGTCTTTGACTCGCAGGGTCCGAGAATCGGGTTCGCTGCGCAGGCTTAGATTCTTTGATTGAGGGGTTGTGGTTGTGATGGTGGTGGTGGTTGTGGGTGATACTTGTTTGTGGTCTCGGTCGTGGTCTGGGTGGGCGTGGATATGGTACTGTATATAGTACTGTACATAGGGGGGGTGGTGAACATATGGTCTGGTTGATTGAATATATGTCTGATGTTTATGCTTTTGCGGATGGATGGATTTTTGTGTAGCTTGTTTTTTGCAGTAGTGGGGTTTGTGGGTAGGGTGAGTGAGGTCGGGGTGTAGTACTGTACTTCACGGGATGGGCTTACAGCCTACATAGAAGTTCCTGAGATAGCGGTCGGATGTTCCATCATCGTTTTTGCTCCTACAGGCGTACGTCCAGTACTAGTTTGGGCAGGTAGGAAGGATCGACAGATGAGATCTTGGTCTACAGCGTCGCAGCCCTAAGAAGCATCAGCATATCAGGCACCGACGACCCTCCATGGAAGCTGTTGCCGCTTGGGTGGCCTGTGTCCTAGGCCATAGCTGTGTCTGAGGTTATGTACTGACTAATAATGGTATATATGCCTCCATGTAACTCTATGCGACACTGGGGTGAGTATGTTTGTGATGTGATCAATCAGGCCTCTAAGATTTTGTGGGGGTATATTTACGTGATTAATGCAAATATGATATAAGCGCCCGGATGGTCTAGTGGTATGATTCTCGCTTTGGGTTTACAGCTTAAATGCGAGAGGCCCCGCGTTCGAATCGCGGTTCGGGCCAATTCTTTTTTGCTTTTTGTCACCCCTGGTGGGGAGGAGAGATTGTTTCGAACTAGGCAAGACATGGTAGATATGTTCTTAGTGGTGTGTTCTTTCTTTATTGAATTGTTGTTGTTGTCTAGTCTAGTTCTGAATCCCATACTGCTGTGGTATCCCTTCCCCTTCTTTGGTCTGGTTATCTTGCTTTGTTTCGCCACGGTTTTAAAAGGTAGATTGGGCGAGGAAGAGCGGGATATATATCTATGGTGTATTTCGGTTCAGCCCCTTTTAGCATCAGGTCATTCACCACCTTATTTTGAGTATCCTTATTTTATCCTACAGGTGTTTACGACGGGGACCAGGGCAGATAACAGGTAAAACAGGAAACGAGCACAGCTTTGGAAGAGAGTCGTAAAGCCGACATATGCAATTTGCCAGCAGGGTCCAGTCAACCTAACAGACGCTCTACATACATCTTAAGAGGCCCCTCATTCTTGTCTTTATTCTTTGTTAATCTTGTCGCGGGTGCTAAGTTGTTTATTCATGCATTAGCACTAGTATATTTAGGGCTGTGAATCTTTAAATGTTTGAAAAGATAAGTAATTCTGTGGTCGAACACATTAAGAATATAAATAGTAATTTCAAACCAGTAACAGATACTTACAAGACTGCCATACCTGAGTTATAGGACATAACACTAGTTAAAAGAGTAGGGTAGAATGTCAGCAAATTCTTGAAAAAACAATTTATCAATCAACTTATCCTGTAGAAGATTTCTCTCATCATCTTCATATTTCTCCCTGTCTCACTCAAGACACCCTATTGGCTTTGTTATGACCAAAGTTTTACACTGTGACACTGATGTATACAAAGAGTCTGCTCATATTTTCTCTATTATTTCCGGTCAAGTAACGGAATCTTCTGGCAATGAGCCGCTTATATGGTTTTCTCTTCTGGCCTTTGCCCCAGAATCTTGCCTAGATGGAATACAATTATACCGACTATCTCTGCATGGCGAAAGATTAGACCCAATGTTGACACCACTTCACCATCAGCTCGCTATCAATCTGTTCCATTGATGCCAGAGTCGGACTGGCTGCTTGGGCCTTGGAAGTTTTGACAGTGGGAAGCCGCTTCCCGATCAGGGAGGAGAAGAACGGCTGGATTCGAGCCATCTCAATTTCCTCTCTTACTGAAAGAGTCCCCGGCGGTAGCTTGATCAGCCCATCTACCCATTGTTGGAACGACACCTGCTGAGATTTGGGCCCTTGGCCAATGCAGGCTTGAATCGCGTCAGCAAACTGGGTGAATGGAATTGGGGATGGATGGACGAGGTTGAAGACATCCGGCGACTCTCTTCCGGTGAGGGTCACGGTCTTTCGCAGGGCAATGTCAATGATCGCCCGTGACATCTGGTCCACCGGGATCCAATCCACAGGGCCCAAATCATTGGGGACCATCCTACTAGCTCTACAAAGAACGACCAGCGAGTGCACCCAGTCGTGACTTTTCCACACTGCACCAGCCTCCATCGACCTGGGCCCAGCGACCTGACCAAGCCGGAGAATCGATATGTCGAGGTCCAGTCGCTTTGCGGCAGCCTGTAGGAGGCTTTCAGCTATGTATTTGGATTGTGTATACCCGGTCATATGCATCGCGTCGTGAAGTCCTTGCATCGGGCTTTCCGGCACCACGGTAGCGATCGATGATCCTGTGGTGGCGGAGTCCCATTGTTGCGCGGATCCTATCGAGGAGACAAAAACGATCCTCGGCCGAGAGGCCGCACGATGGGCGAGGTCTATCACGGTCAGGACGCTCTTTAGAATGGCTGGCTTGAATGACACCAACGGGAGAGCGAAATTGACTGTCCAGAGATTATGAATTATTGTGGTGGCTGTATCCAGAATCTCATTCAGCTGCGTTGGAGACAGCCCAAAGTCAGGCTGGGAGATATCAACAGTCAAGAATTGGAGTCTTGGATCAAAAACGTCGAGGTCGAGTCCCAGCTCCTTGGCCCGTCTTTGAAATGCTTGTTGGCCGTCATTCCCACGGTTGAGGCACTTTATACTCATGATTTGGGGATCAGTGAGCAGATCTCGAACAATGTATGGGCCAAGGCGGCCCCTGGCACCTAAAAGGATAATGGCGGGCCCGCCTGGTTGTCTCGCAACATCTGGCCTCTGAGTCTGCTTGTTGGGGAAATCGGCCTGCAGCTCTTGTAAAATATGGTGCACTTGCTGTGTCTGATCGACTAGTAGCTTGTGCTCTCTTTCAGAACTATGAGTCTGAGCCACACGCAGAAGTGACTGGGCAAGGAGCTCAATGGACGGATGGGTGATAATGAGACGGAGCCAGAAGTTGACACTATCGTCTTGATTTGCACCGAAATGAGCCATGTCTGCTCGAATCCTTTGGGCGAGCTCAACGGCCATCAAGGAGTCTAGTCCACCGGTTTGGAAGATATTGTCGCTATCATAAAGCTCAACGTCTGGCAGGAGTTCCTGCATCAGTGCCCGGACAAAATTCTTGGCTGCGTTTAGCAAGTAGGAGTCAAAGCTGCCCGTCTTTCGCATCTGAAAAATTCCCCCATTCTCAAAGACTGCTTCGATATGCCTGGAGTATAGCATTTCAGTAGGCTTCCGAGCGACAGTGCCCTTGGGCGTTCGGCAAAGCCCCAGGTGTGGCTCCGTGAAGATTACGTGGGAGCGGCGAACTCTTCCGTATGTCGGCGCTTCGAGATTGGCCTCCATGATGACCGGCCAGATTGCCTCAAAAAGTGCTGTTATGCCCATCTTCTTTCTTTCTAGCTCTGTTCTGGGCTCAATAATCAGCACAGGTTCCGGCCGTCCGTTTCCGACCAGCACGGCACCTGCCACAAGAGGATGTCCGTGCAGAATTTGCTCAACAGGTATCGGCCAGAACTTGTGACTGGTAGATAGAACTATCATATCATCCACACGCGAATGAAAGCGCCAAAGCCCAGATTTAGTGGGATGAGGGGTGAAGAGATCTCTGGTGCGCCAAGTCTTGACATCGGGGAAATTGTGCGAGAGAGATCGACGACTCCGGAATCGCTCTTCTTGATGAAAGACCATCTCATACAGACCTTCCTCAACTTCCTGCATATCGCACTCCTCGTACGGATTTGGCTCGAGGTAATCCCAGTCTTCTTGACTCACCAGCATCTGCACCTGGCCAATCTCAAGGGAACCGTACATTTGACACACGTCCGTGACATGTTTAAGCCGGTGACCAATCGCGGGAGCCAGTGGGCCGCCGCCGTAAAGCACAAAGTCCCAGTCTTCGGCCTTCTTCATTGCATTCGGTTCCAAGGCCCATTGCTCGATGATAGATGGGGGTGCATAGATTGCACGTAACACCTGCTGTTCAACAATGCTATTCAAAAGATAGCCACTGGGTGGCTGAGTTGCCGGGCCCATAACAACCGTGGCTGTTTTTGCAAATGACGGCAGAAGGATATACGCCTGGACGCCGGCCAACTAGAAAGGAAGGTCAGTTTGAGAAAGCCCGCCCATTGGAAGTAATCTGCTTACATGATACGATGGGAAACAGCTGTAGTAGCGGCCTGCTGGGGAGAAATTGAACTGTGCGGCGTTTTGTGCACGCCTTCCCTCTGGCACAGGCATGAAAGAGTCATTGTCCGTGCATGCAAAGGTTCCATGAGTCATATACACTAGCTTCGGTATTCCTAGCGAACGGAATCGTCAGTATGGCAGGTGATTTCACGTCTTGGACAAAACAATTTACCTGTAGAGCCCGATGAGTGCAAAATTAGACAATGCTCATTCTCAAGCTCCGCGAAAGATTTGCTGAATGAATAATGTTTCGGTTGAGACCCGAGGCACTGTGCAAGAGATGGCATGCGTAGGATGGATAGGGAGCTGTAGAGTCCTTGCAGCTGCACAGCCATCGAAGACATACTGTCTGCATACAGCAAGACATCTACCTTCGCCTGTTGAAGCAGGGCACTGTTTTGCGCACTTGTGTTGCGAGGAGAGATGAACATGACCTGTGGTATACAACAAATGGTCAGTAGATCAGGCAGGGAGCAATTGAAACCGATACACTACTTGCCTTGCTCCCACACTTGATTGCAGCGATGAGCAATATCGAGAACCGAAGGTCGGAAGGACCTATAAAGGCCAAGACCCTCTTTTCCGGGCTCTTGTTGAAGGTGAGGAGGAAATTCTCATCGATCCACCAGGCGACTTGATTCACCGCAGCAGCCATCTTCCGCATGTCGATGTCTACGAAGCCATCGGCGATGTCATCTGATCGTGGAATCGCTGCGAAGACACGATTGGGCTCTTCATGTGCATAATAATCGATGATGTGTGGAAGTAATCGCTTCCCTCGGTGCTCGTCTGAGCCTTCCTTCCAGGGCATGGGGTTGTCAGAAGACTCCATTTGCGCTTTGAGCTGGTAAGATAAAAAACCCTTGTAGACAATGTCCGAGAAAAGGAAGCAAAGTGGTGTATGAGTGGCTTCGAAAATCGGAGCAGATAGAAAGGGCCCTTTTGTAATGAACTCGCCAGGCTCATGTACAGGAAGTGTCTGAGGCTGAACTCGGAGAAACCTCGGCTAGGTGGCTGTCACCAGGGTACTGTCAATTCTTCCAACTACCCTGAGTGCGTAACCTGGCAACTCCGTCTCTGAATAACTTACAGACGATGTTTACATGAGGTTATTGACTGGCTTCCGTTATCCTTCCCCTGCTTTAATTTTTCCCTTTTCCCTTTTCCCTTTCCCCTATTTTCTCTCTCGCATTTGTTGGAATGCTACGAACGCAAACGGTGCAGGTTGGATCTCGTGCTCTCCCAAAAGTGATTCCCGATCTTTAGCCTGGAGACCGTGGACCAGTCCTCCAAGTAGGGGTACAATCCGTGGATCATACGATACCAGAAAGAAAAAGCCATCGAGAGGAGGCATATCTCATAGAAACGCTGTTCGGGCTTTCCGGGCCACTACCCACCAACCGAGCCATACCGCCCCAGAAACAAACACATCCTAGATACAATGGCGCATTATCAACGACACATAATCAACAAAGGCAGATCGAGCGGGCTGTGTAGGCAACAGTGTGCAGGGAAAGTGACAAGGCTGCATACTACAGTCAAGATGGTGCAGCATGAACTATACTAGCTTGCATAAGGAACTCCACTTTGAAGGTTGGCAGAGTTTTGGACCCCAGGGCGGCTTAGAATCAGATCTAGACTAGGCCCGTCGCAGAGGGAGATCAAGGTGCCGGGAACCGTTATAGCATACAGTACAGGGTAATCTGACCCAAGTAAGGTACTAAGGTACTGTACCTGACCGCCTAACTTAATTGATCTTGACACCGGCTGTCTCTCCATTACGACCGGCGTTAACTGTACCTAGGTAAGCACTAGGTAACATACATGTACAGTAGTATGTCCGGTTGACTCTCAGTTTACTTAGTTGGACCAGCCACTTCCCCTCTCCCTACAGTGAAATTGAGAAAGTGACGGGACTATTCCGTACACAACCCATTCTTGGCCGGGTTGAAAATTTCGACTCAAGGGTAGGGTAGGGTATCCCACATACAATAGTTGACCTGACTTCATTTTTCTTATTTCCTGGCAACTACTCGACTGCCTGTTTGCTAGCGGAAGGGTGATTGACACCGCCGGGACAACCCCCCTGGTTCGGTTCCCCCTTCCCCCTTCCCCCTTCCCCCGTACCACTGAAGCACAAATCATAACCCGCCCGCCCCCACTGAGCTAAACAAGCTCTGAGACCTCCGTCTGTGAACCCGTCTGGATTGACATGCTCACTGAACGGTTGACCATGATCCGCTTCCCACCACCAACACGTTCGCCAGTCCCTGTATCCTCAGGCCCGAGACTAATGTGGGTCGCGCATCCCGAATTACCCGCGACTTTGTGTAGAGAAACTGTGTCCGTGCTGGCCCCACTGAGTAGCTGCTGCTGTTTCCGTGCGCGAGGTGGCTCGTCACTGAGTAGCTGCCCTTTGCTCTGCGAGCCACCCGTCCTAGACCCGAGTCTGGCGCTTGAGGCCAGAGGCCGTAGAAACGGAAGGCAGGCGTTGATGATACCGAGGCTGATCTCCAGCAACCCGTACAGGCAATCATCCAAAACTGTGAATGTGAAATCATTCTGATCGAGCTGAATCAGCGCTTTGATTCGAATCCCAGACATCACGCAGACACTGTTCCAGCCCAAAGTCAGCAATTCCCCTTGCTCGCTCCGCGGGTATAAAATGACAAGGGTAATGAAAAAGAGACCCCCGCGTACATTAGACCCAGAAGAAAAATTACGGAGAGTTCGAGCTTTTTCCGAAGGTTCATCTGGAGCCTCCAGAGGGTGGGCAGAGGTAGGCAGAAAATAGTGAGATCAATGGCGAGATTGAGAGCCGCGATCGCAATCAGGAGAGGCTGCATGTTCACGCAAGTTCCTGTTGTGTGATACTTATCCCATGTATACCGGAACGGTCGGCACTGAACGAGGGGCTCTACAAATGTGATTATGAACAAGCAGATAGTTGCTGCGGCAGTGCAATAGACAGCAATCCAAAGCTGACGGTTGCGGAAGACAATGTAATAGAAGGCAAGAATCGAAAGCTTGATTGCCGTTGTCGCCACCCCCCACAGTATAGGAGCTGCAATGAAAAGCTGTTGGGGAAGAGAGTCAGCATGGTCTATGTGTTACACAGATATGGAAAAAGCGGATTGTATGTACTTTCAGAACATTCTCCATTTCTGTCTCTGTTAGCTCAGTGACATGTTTTCCAGCACCGCCAATATAGACCACTTGAAGATAATTAGTATCGGCTTTCATTTGGAGTAATCTGACGAGGTCACTCACTCAGGTAACCAACGACCGTGACACTGACAGTGGCGATCTGCAAGGTGTAAGCTGGAATCCAAGACTTTCCAGAGTGTTCCCAGAGTCGCTTACTGTGCCAATAACAAGCATGTAGTCACTGACATTAGACTCACGTCGAGTGACTCGCTGCGTATAAAATCGAAGTCCCACTGCGCATACTGCGAGAACAGTAAAAATGAGGTTCAATGCATTAACAGTGGTCGAACTTGTGTGAGACGTAGCCATGGTGATGAAACTCCGTGCGAGTGCAGTACAAGAGCGAAGATGCTTATTGACCTTGCAGTGTAGCATCGGACACTTGAACCTTATATAAAACCATCGAGCAACTCATCTGAGTGACAAGAACTCCTGAAATGGAAAGACATTTGCTCGTAAGCATGAATTGAGAGGAGAGATGGGGCTAGCCTACTATTCAGCTTGATAACCTGGCGAAGAGACAGACACTAAGTCATAGAGAAATGGGGAGTAGCAAAAATGTGACTATCCGTATACCATGCTGTTGTTGTTGTGTTGGTGGTGGGTGGGGGCGAAATGAGCCGAGATCATCCCAAGCCCGTCAATTTAAATGATCCTTGCAGATGGCGGCTACGTAGACACTAGATCGAGCGCTAGTCGATTTTAGTGTAGTGACCAAAGTACTACTACTAGGTAGTGCTTATGAATAGATACCTACTAATCTTAAAAGGTGGGTAGCGTATCTTACTGTCCACGGTAGGTAACTTAGTACTGGGGGGTACTTACGGGCTCTTACTAGGTACTGTAAGCCCTAGAGCCCAGTGAATATCCACCCTCATCATTGGCCTACCCATGCATGACTGGAGCTCCGGCGGTCAGAATCGGCGACATATCTGTATTTCATGATTACAGATTGAGTTCGTTATTGTCTCATGTTGCTTTATAACTACACAGTACGGTAACTACCGCATCAATCAACCCGGGCTCCTATAAATACCGCGATCGCAACCCAGGTTGAACAGAAAGGCGTCCACACTTCCTTTTCCTTGGACAAAACGTCAGGCCCAAAGATCCCTACTTGCATATTACTACTCAGTCTATTTCACTCACTTCACCAACAATGGATTATCAAGGAGACACTCCTCCTCTCGAGGCTGACTATGTGATCGTCGGAGGGGGGACCTCCGGTCTCGTTCTCGCTGCTCGACTGTCTGAGGGAGACTCGGCCCGCTCTGTTATCGTCCTGGAGGCTGGGAAGAACTTAGTCGATGATCCCCGAGTTCAGACTCCTGCCCTCTGGACCACCCTGATGGGGTCCGAAGCAGATTGGCAGTATCAATCCACGCCTCAGGTATGCTTCTTTTTGCTTCATGTGCCGCACTGTACCTCAAAGCACGAATTCTGATTTCGATAACAAGGCTGCTCTCGGTGATCGAGTCATCAAAGAGCCCCAGGGCAAGCTGCTTGGTGGCTCATCCGGGATCAACGGTCAAGCCTTTGTAGCGCCCACCAAGGCGGGAATTGATGGCTGGGAAAAATTGGGTGCAACGGGATGGACCTGGGCAAATCTTTCCCCGTACTATCGAAAGGCCTTCACTCTGCAGCTGCCAGATGAAGACACCCGGGACCATATAGGCACAAGCTGGGTCGACCCCGAGGTCAACGGAACTTCGGGGCCCATCAAGGTTTCTTTCCCAGCCGTACGACAAGACCCGCTTTCCAAGGCATGGATTGACACTTTTCGAGGAATGGGCTACGGCGTCACCGGCGATCCTTTCTCGGGTGTATCAACTGGCGGTTACTCCAACCTAGCCGCTGTCGATGCAGAAACAAAGACCCGTAGTTATGCAGCCACGGGCTATGGCGTGCCCGCCATCCAACGTCCGAGCGTTCGCATCCTCACCAAAGCAGTCGCCCATCGAATTCTTCTTTCTTCTGGAGAATCCGGGGTTACAGCCACGGGAGTGGAAGCAGACTTTGAAGGGCAAGCCATAGTCATCAAAGCGAAAAGGGAGGTGATTCTGACTGCTGGGGCTCTCAACACTCCAAGGCTGCTCGAACTGTCTGGCATTGGAGGCAAAGCCATTCTCGACAAGTTCAACATCCCGGTCGTGATCGACAACCCAAACGTCGGCGAGAATCTCCAGGACCATCTCATGAGTGGGATCAGCTTCGAGGTGAAGCCGGGGGTAATGACCGGTGATCCACTTCTGCGTCAGGAGCCCGACGCGGTCCAGACTGCATTGCAATTGTATGCAGAACACAAAGCCGGGCCTATGACTGTGGGCGGTGTGCAATCTTGCGCCTACATGCCTATTATCGAGTATCATGGCCACCAGGAGGCTAAGCGGGCGCATTTCGAAACCTTCCCCGGTCACCCAGATGCTCGCCACGAAGTGATCCGAGACATTTACGGACAGTTGGATGCGCCCACCTGCTCAATGTTTATGTTCCTGGCCCAGGCAAACCTTCATCAAGATGGCAAGAGCTTTGTCGGCCAGGAGCTTCTGCCTGGGAATTACCTCAGCCTGGGCCTCTCCCAAAGTCTACCCTTCTCTCGTGGAACGGTGCATATCGCCTCGTCGGACCCTGACGCGCCCCCGACAATCGATCCTCGTTATTTCTCGAACCCACTAGATCTGGACATCATGGCCCGTAACCTCCTGGACGTGGAGCGACTTCACGGTCTGAAGCCTATCGCGAATTATCTGGTTGTCGATGGACGACGCAATCACCCTGACGCCTTTCTCACGGATCTAGAATCTGCTAAGAAATACCTCCGTGACACGGCCACCACTACCTATCATTCATGCGGTACCGTGGCTATGCTTCCCCGAGAGAAAGGAGGAGTGGTGGACGAGAGCTTGCGTGTGTACGGAACCACCAACCTGCGTGTTTGTGATGCGAGTATCTTTCCTTTGATTCCTGCTGCAAATATCATGTCTACTGTGTACGCGGTGGCGGAAAGGGCGGCGGATATTATCAGAGCTGAGGCTTAGAGCTGACCCTGACTATGCATACCTTGCCACCCCTTCCTCTTACTCTCTTCTCATGGTCACCTATCGAGCAGTGGTCTGTAGTCAAGGAGTATAAAAATAACTCAATGTCTCAAACCATAGCACACAAAGTGGTTAGCCAAATATGATACTGTCAGGTACCAATCGTGGCCGCGTAGCCCATATCAAATTAGTTCTGCGGTGCCTTGTAGAACCCAGAGATTTTCTCACTCTTGGTAGTGAGTTATCTTACGAGCATGTAGCGAATCCTGTCACGGTCAAAAACATACCATACCATCCTGAAAGTATAAGTATACACCTTGAACGTGTCTCATGTAGCATTCTGGGAAATCATCGTACCACAATGAAATCCCAGGTGAGGAGCATTCTCTAGAACTTTTCCAAGAATCACAATCCTCAGTCACATATGATTTCATATACTCTATCATGGTGATGGGGGCTTGTCTGCAAGCCCTCTGGTTAAGGTGCCTGAGAGGAAAATCCAAGTTTGCTTACGGAGGGGTAGGGGGAGGGGCGGGGGGAGGTAGTTAGGAGGGAGGGGGTAGCAACGGTAAAGCCCGCACTCAGGTAACGTATTCGGTAAGCGAATGGCGCATTTACACAGTAAGCCAGCAGCGCACTTCCATATTCCATTTACAATCATAATTTCGAAACCTATAGGCCTTCCCCAATCCTTGATCCTCTTATATCTAGCTTAGTATATATACTCACACAGTGAAGGTCTATTGACTATTCTCAGGGTTTTCCATTTGAAGCTCTATGAAGTTTAATATACAGAAATACACTGTATTGTTTGTGATATATTTGTTATCTAAGATGTTATCTTCTTTGTATCTTCTTTAAACAAAGATCTAATCTCTCTTCGAAAAGTACTATGTATATATATACAATAGATCTACTTATACCTGTTGTTATACTATGATATTATATCATCATCAAGTATCTTTGTCATTCAGATGAAAAATTATAACTTAGTATTAAATACAGTTTACTGTATTAACCATTCACTAGTAGTTTGTAACGTATAGAGATGTATGTAATTGTATGTATTGGTGCCGGTACAAGCGGACGAAGACTTAAGCACCGGTTCCTACTGCATTCCTTCCCGCACACCCGACGCCACCCTAATCCTCCCGTCATCTTACCTACTCATACTCTGTGATCTTTGACCTTCGATCAGCAATCTCCTCGAGACATTAATGACTCTTTCCATTTTCATCCGCCCCCACCAGCAGCGGCAAGGCATACAGACCCACGAGCCACAAGTTCCACAGCTTGAAAGTGGTATGATCATTGGGTCCACTGCGCATAACCAGAGTCCGAAAGGCAATCACCCACGCTAATCCTGCAATGGCGGCCCCAACAGCACACCTTGCGAAGGACCCCTTCGTATGTCCGTTCTCCACCCAGCCTCTCCATCCCCAGAACCAGACACAAAACGGGCCCCACATCGATATAGTGACTGCTGTCACCCACCGTGCCGCTACGTCGCCAATGACGAGAGGCAGCGTCTTACGGCCCCGCGCCCGGTCCCCAAGCTGATCACACATATCTTGAGTCTGGACGGTGCTCATTACGACAGCGCCAATGATAGCTAACCACGTCGGCCCTATACTCATACCCCTGCCAAGGGCGATGAAGGTGGTCCACCGCTGTGGGCCCAGCGTGAGCTGCGCCGCGCCGGCGATGTAGCTCATGAACCCCAGGCTGTTGATGAGGTTGCGGACGAGGAAGCCAGCGTCCGAGCCTTGCTTCTGGTTATACCAGTAGCCCAGACCAATCAGCACGAGGCATTGGCAGAGCCCGCCAATAAGGGCGCTCACTCCCACCGCCGCTCCGTAGAGCAGCAGCATTAGGCTTCTGGCCTGCTCGGGAGTCATGCGCTTCGAGGGCATCGGTCTCCATGGTTTGTTGAGCGAGTCTTCCAGGATGGAGGCAGGCTGACGTTGATTATCGATGGTGAATGGGAGTAGATTGAGCCAGGCCCACATGAGCACAGTCAGCAAGCCGCTCACATACTCGAACCAGGTTGGCAACGGATCAAGGCCAAATGCGATGGCTCCGGCGGCTGTGAAGAATCCAAAGCCGAGGCTGGTCGCGACGATTGTCTTTAGATCGCTGTACGTGAACAACCAGATAGAATGTGCGAGATGTAGGGGTCGGTGGGCGACAAGCTCAAGGAGTGATGAATTAGAAAATGGTGGGGTCTGCGAGGCCATTGGGCGACCGGGAACAGTGAGGACTGTAGTAATAGTGGTAGTCATCTTTCGTTCTTGACTCTCTTGCTCTTTTGGTCTTGGCCACAATTGCCGGGGGAAGGTGCAATTTATCTCTCTATCCCGCTGACCCGAGGCAGATATGACATCGGACACTATCTGCCTTGCGCGGCGGTGATACGTACTGTATCGGCCTTGATATGAAATTAGCCGAGGTGATTATTCAATTTACTCGGCACTAGGCACGATAAGTCAGTTGTAAGTAGGTCCATAAATCTGAGCAGAGCCCGGTAGCTTCCCTGCCCAAGCTGACGTTTGTGATCAAGTACTCGATTGAGGCCATGGCTAGCAGTTTTTTGCTTCTGAACTGCACTTTCCCCGCGTTAGCGGGCTTGCTGGCTCACCATATGCTATTCAGGAGAAGAGAATGGCACATGGAAGGGCGACGTTTACTCAATATCACATTGGTTATGTTTCCAGTGCTGGTCATTTTCGAGAGCAGAGAGGCCTTCCGCATGACCTCTTTTGCGCATGCTTCTCTGATAATGTCCAGCTTCTTCCTATCCCTCTTTTCGAGTATGATTATCTATCGTATTTTTTTCCACAGGATCCGTCAGTTTCCCGGTCCCTTTCTTGCCGGGGTGTCCAAGTTATGGCATTCCTATCAGTGCCTCGGCGGGCAGAATCACTTGTTACTTGACAAGCTCCACCAAGAATATGGTGATTTTGTCCGCACAGGGCCCAATGAGATTACAGTCTTTCATCCACAAGCACTAGCAATACTTGATGGCCCTAGGAGCCAGACAAGGAAGTCAGATTGGTATGACCTGTTGTTACCGTATGAGGGAGTGACGACAATTCGTGAGCGAGCTCTTCATGATCAACGGCGGCGAATCTGGAATAAGGCATTTGCAGCTCCTGAGCTAGCACACTACCGGAGACATATTCTGAGCCTAGTCCTACAGTTCGACAGTCTTGTGGCGGTTGCTGCGGCTGAAGAACGTCCCGTGCCGTTCTCAACCTACGCCTACTGGTTTTCTTTCGACGCCATGGGACTATTTGCTCTGTCGCGTTCCTTTAATATGCTGAGGAACGAAGAATGGCACTACAGCATCTTGATGATGCGCCGTGCGATGAAGCTTCTAGGTCCCTTGACACCAGTCCCCTGGTTGGCACAACTAGGCTTTTCCCTCCTTCGCAACTATTGGGTAGTGAAAGACTGGCACACCATGATCGCTTGGTGCAGGCAGCGAATGCAAGAAAGGACTCGGGTATGTTTGCTGCTTGAATCAGAATGATCTGTTTCTTCATTGCTGCTAGTATCCTTGGGCTAACATGTCGAGCGAAATTTTCCTTTTCATTAAAGGAGCCTGATTCGCACGACATTGCACAATGGATCATTGATGACGCCCGAAAGTGTAGCACTATCTATAATGACGAGCGTACACTGACAGGCGAAGCCGTGGTGGCTATCATCGCCGGCAGGTAAGCCAGCATGATTACATGTCCCATGGGGTACTTCGAGCTACGCTAACGTCACGTAAATTATGAACATCTAGTGACACTGTTGCTCCAACTTTGGTCTTCCTCTTTTATGAGCTGGCTCTACATCCGGAGAAGGCAGCCAAACTTTATGAGGAACTCCGTAAAGAAGACATAGCGGATTTCAAAACTCTGCAACGGCTGCCCTACCTGAACGCCATCATCAAAGAGACCCTGCGGCTCCATCCAGCCGTGCCAACCGGAGGGTATCGCGATACGCCAGCTGATGGCATCGTGATTGATGGAACCTTCATTCCCGGAGATACAACTTTGATTGCTCCTCGTTACTCCCTCAGTCGATGTATGTTCTCAATTCATTCGTCTAGCTACTCGTTGCCTTTTTCCCCACTTCTCCAGTGTTCCTTCTTACCTTGTCCCTCTATCCTCACACTCCTCCTCATCTGTTCTCTCCTTGCAAGGGCGCTGATCAGACTGTTCTTATTTTGTAGTGGAATCTTGTTATGTTAATGCCTCGAAATGGATCCCTGAGCGTTGGACCACACAATCGGAGTTGATCAAGGATAATAAGTCCTTTCTTCCATTCGGACAAGGTAGCCGAAGACCCCCCTCCCCCTCCCAATGTTCCAGGAGCTAGAGGTGTAGATCTTGCTAACATTTTTTGCAAATTGCCTCCAGGTCGCTACACATGTTTGGGCAAGGAGCTAGCAATGTCGGAATTGCAGCTCGTCACTGCCTCTTTGATTTCAAATTACAGATTGGCTTTCCCCGTTGGCTGGGACGAGTCTCGCATCAAGAAGGTTGAAGACGATTTGAGAGACCAGTTTACAGCTGCGCCTGGCCAGTTGGAGTTGTTATTCATCCGACGGTGACGATAAAAGACCTAGGTGCTTAGTACTTTTTCTTTTGCGGACACTAGTCTGGTATTGGCTGAGCCCGCCTCAGCCTGAACTCGGTCTCACGATTTCCGTCTTTCATTGTGTCTTCATCAACACTCAAAGTATTCGGATCGAAGAGAGGGATAGCGAAGGCAGGCCCGAGGAACGAGATGTACCTAATTTAAGGGGCGCGTGAATCTTTGCGACAGTCCTGTCTAAACACGGCTTTGGTTCTTGATGACCTAGAAGCCCTCTGGGTGTTAATAAAGTAGTCGCTTTTGAAACGGTGTTACCTAACCGGGTTGAAGACTTCGTCTTTTTCATCTATTCTGTCGGAGCACCGTGTTGATGAAAGCTAACACCAGTCAAAGCCCATACCCAGCACTGTGCTTACATGGCTTGTTCTTTTCCCTTTTCCTCTAACCTTTCTACACAAACTCTCCGCAAGCCGTTCTACTATCAGTCTCTCGCTCATAGAGCTGAATAGTGGATTGTGTGCTCAGACTCCGAGATTACACAGGGGAGTTGAGCAGTACCTAACCATTAATCTGCCGCTTGGCGAGCGCGTTCGAGCTATTCATCGGCCGGAAGTAAGAGATAACTATGACTAGAAAGAGGCGTAGCCCGTAGCATCTCGGTGTAAAGCCGATTGTCTTGACCAACAAACACATTATGATACTTTTTATGCAGACTGCCTGACTGATTGTCGTAGTGATCCAGCCTGTCGGGCATTGGGCTGGACTGATTATCAGATGACGGACTATTATAATTGCGAACTTTATTATTACACTGTGAGGGAAGAGAAGATTCAATACGACACGCAGAATTCACGCGGCTGGTGGCTTGGAGTCAGTATCGAGCAAGCATAAGCTGCGGTGCGGGCATAGTACGAAGAATATACAAGCCCTCCTCTCGAACGACTGAGCGTGCCATGATGTGTAGATTAGTTACTATTCACTCTGAATACTATAGCGACGACAAGGTGTAGATTAGAATCTACTTCCGTTGTCTAAAAATGCCACTTGATGTCCCAAAGCTGCTAGATCCAAGGCATCTGTCCTTTCATGTAACAGTGTGTAACTATGTATCATCAGATGCATGGCAAACCTCTCACGTACTAACTTACATTATCATTTGCTCGACTGTTCTTACACACTAAGCTCTTGGCAGTGGGTCTAAGAAAAATATCAATCATGTCTTTGTTGGTCAATTCGATTTCGAGGATCACTGTACCAGTCATCTCGTACAGATGGAAGTATAATCCGCCTGAGAGCAGACTAGTAACGATATATAAATCGACTTTATCGAGTTTCTGTATTATAAAATCTTTCTAGAAGCAACACAGATCTATTTAGGATAGCACTAGAAAAATATACAAGTCGAATTGTTCCTTAAGCTGAAACATAAGCAGATTTGATATAATCAGATACTGTAGTTATAGAAAAAAGAATATGTTCCGTATAAGTTAAATACAGCACCGGTTACTAATAATATAAAAAGTTTAAGTTGCAATACCAATTTGTGTTTGCAGTGCTATGCAGCATATTAAATTTCTACTAACCGCCGGTAATTATAATATTTCTATATTCTAATTCATTACTGCTTCTACTAATTTATCTACCAACTATACTATTCTACAGCTGGAATAGTCCGACAACTTAGTTTTGAATCAAAACAAAATTAATCACGATAATAAAATATCACGGAAGTAAGAGATAAATATGACTTGAGGAAGGCGTAGCCCGTAGCATCTGGTGTTCCGGTGCCATAAGGACAGACATGGTGATAGAACCACAAGATAAAAGAATACAGGGTCGGATTATTTTGAATGAAATATCAAGCTAAAAGATTGGGTAACTCCAATATACCTTCGGGTTCAGGATTCCACTGGGGTGTTGGAAGAAGACATGTTTCAGGCTTCTGCTGCCAAATCAATGTTGCTGTTATCACATTGTTTGTCCACATTTGCGTGCGCCATCCTTGGAACAAACGATGCTGAACACTTTAGCTTTACTAAATCCTGATGCAGTCTTGGCTTCAGGTAGCTTTCAGGAATCTACATCCATAGGGTAGAGTGCTATCTAGCATCATATCTTGCGAGTAAGCACGGTCTCATTGAATCCTATAATATCGAAAGACTTCAACTTAAGCACGGATAGAGGAAGTGTATAGCAAAGAGCTAGGCAATACATTGTCCCGATCAATTTAAATCATTAAGTCATTCTGTTATTATGTTAAGTTGAGTGACTCACTTTTCATGATGAATATAGCAGTATCGACAGTGAAATGGAACCCTGCATCCGTTCCCCACCAGTCCGAAGTCAGCTGTCGACAATTCCAGAACCAAAATACCATCTCCACCCGTTGCAATGGCTTCAACCGCGTATCCCCACAAGATATCCCTTGTGTACGATCTTCTAGAGGTGATCCCCGGGCAGACAGATCTTCGCACGCTTCTCACCTCAGCCCAGCGAGTTTGTTATTCCTGACACGATGTCATCCGAGAACTCCCCCGACATCCAAAGGGCGCTTTACTTCAAGCCATCCTTAGCCTCTTCAGAGGTTCTCACCGCAACCCATTCATCGATGAAGTCCTCTGGTCCCGATTCTCCTGCCACTTTCAATATGTGGGTCGGATGGTCCACCGCTTGGACATGTGTAAAGATCGGGATATCGGACCCACAAACAGCGACGGGCCATGCCTCCGCCACAAACCGAGCTGGCGACCCATGCTCCTCCATCAGTCGCTCACTCTCCCTGTCCTGTTTCACGATCTTTCCACCGGGACACTGTATAACCTCCGAGTCCAGCCCGAGACAGAAGACTCTGCCGGCTAAGATTCCGACGCGTACATGCGCCTGGGACACTTGGCCGCCGCGGTCGAGGACAGGTGTTCTCCCCCCGGGGAGCATCTCTGCATCTCGTGGAGAACGCGATCAGCTTCGATGCTCTACCGCCGTGGCTGCGGATGGCAATTAGTTATGTCGGTCAAACTCCCCTCATTTGAATGCGGAAGCTGTATTCATATGCCCGCCAACTCATTTCCTGCGTATTTCTCTGGCGGCGTGCTGGGATGGCTTGATTTCTCATCGCTCCTCTGGCGCAAGTGGGCATTCGTCATCCTGCTTGCCGATTAATCACAGTGGTACTGGGAGTAGACTGATTTCCTTCTGTTCCCTTCTCAACATTGGTACATTATCTGATATTCTATTGTGGTGTTTTATGCTGTATTCGCTGTTTTTGCTTTCGATTTACTCTGGTTTTGATCTCTTTTGGCAGCTGTGGCACAAACACTCTGAACGTGCATGACGCTGCTTGCTTTTGGATCACCGGTGCTTACTTACATTTACAGAGTTTCCCTGATGATCTCATATCATTGAAGTTGTCTTGACTCTCGTTTGGTATTACATTGAAGTGTAATGTTGTACGTATAGCCAAGCTCTATGACCCCCACTTGCGCAAGGTAGTGGGTAGGTCTTTTGATCTACCTATGAGAATGGGTCCAGCCATAGATCAGTCTCGAGAGTCAATACCAGTAGACCTGGGGCCAGCACTTGTCCGGTTATGCGAGAAGCGGGTGGCAGCAAGCAGTCTCTATTGGTTCTGCGGTACAGTCTATAGATATCACAAAGAATAACACTATAGATACGTAGTCCTAACTCTCCAGCTATCTGTGTAGTCTTACTCTAAAGTGTTTGTGTAGCTTTCTCCGGGAGGCATCATGGCTTAAAGAACGACTGCGGGTTACTTAGTGACCCCCGCCCCTTTAGGCTCGGGCCAGGCAAAAAATCTAAACCCACCAAAAAACATACAACAGAAGGGATTCGCTGGTGGTCACCCACCCAACTACTAACCTCCCGGCGTGTGGCTTGAGTACGGCTGAGCGGACGGGAAGCCCTATTTTCCACACCCTGTGGTCGTATGTGGTGAGAGCTCGTGTGGAGCAGTATATGTCTAGCATGCAATAGATTGAGTGACGAGGTAGAATAAATTTTCTGCTAGTATTCTCTAGTTGGGTGAGATGACATCGCCGATGCCTATGTCCTGGAAACTGGTACATGAGGCGATGGTGGATGAAGGTCTGCGTGTTATTCCCGGTTAATCGGGTTAGAAGCTCGGTTGCCACGAGACTATATATTTTGCATGCGGCGGGAGCTCTCCAACAAGCGTTCAACTTCGGAATAAACGACAACACTCCGTATACACTGTCTACAGTACTGTTCTAATCGATTGATCGTCCGTGGAATATAGACAGTATCAACAGGATTTTAACGCCAACGTAGTCTTTTCAATATAAATCCAACTACTGCACAATCAACAACGCACCTGCTCAAAACCCCCCATCCTCCATCCTACACCCACACCCAGAGACTCAAATGCCCCATCATGTTATCACAAATTTAGCGAATGACATCATCAAGCCCGGGTGGTCTAGTGGTATGATTCTCGCTTAGGGATTCCAAACCCAAGCATATCTGCGAGAGGTCCCGCGTTCGATCCGCGGCTCGGGCCTTGTTTCTTTTGTTTTTGTTTTCCTCGACTTTGTTTTATGCGGTCATATATTTACTAAGCCAGCTTCTGACATCATAAGAGCCCGGATGGTCTAGTGGTATGATTCTCGCTTTGGGATCCACATCTTAAATGCGAGAGGCCCCGCGTTCGAATCGCGGTTCGGGCCACTCTTTTTGTCTTTGTCCACGCCCTTCCCTTCAAGGGAGCCCGAGCAGGAACCAAGTATTTTCATATTTCTTTTTGTTTGCCATGCGGTTGGTGGTTGGGGTGGGCTGCGATTGCACACCAGACCTGAGAGTGTCAGTGCACATTGACTTCGGCTAGGGGTACTGTGTTCCATGGTAGAGGATGGAGACATGTTTAGTTCTTCATTTCTTCACAAGAAGTAGACGCAACACACCCTAATCAATGGTCTATGTTACAGCGATTTTCCCACCCGCCCTTCGTACGCAATCTAGCACCCACATAACACCCACTAAATA